GCCAGATTAAGGTTATTTTTTAGAAAAATAAATAAAAAACTAATTGTTGCTCTGTAATTGTGATTATATGGGCTTAACATATAAATAATCTAACCATATGATTCTTAAATGTCAAGAAGAATAAATCAATTCTAAATCAATCACTGAAAACTATATAATTATCATTTTCTTTTCAGTTTAGTCCCTTTGTTAATCTGGGGACGCCACAGCGGAATGAACCGCCAACTTATCCAGCATATGTTCTACACAGCGGATGCCCTTCCAACTGCAACCCATCATTGGGAAACACCCATACATTCTCATTCACACTCAGACTACAGACAATTTAGCGACCTTCTTGCTGTGAGGCGAGAGCGCTACCCATCAAGCCATCACGTTGCCCTGTATAATTCGGTAAAAAGGTAACAGTATTTTGTAGATAAAATATGTTATAACATAAATTAATCTTTAAAAATATATTTTAAAAAATAACAATCAAGAACACCTTAATATCTAGTGAACTAGAATCTAGTCTCTTGCTCAATAAAAAGATTTTATGTTCTTCATAAAATGTGTGAATTTCTATATATTATATGTATTTTGCCATATATTTGGTCTCATACTTTATGATTTTTTAGGACTATGTTTTTGCCTTGTACATGATGAATCCTCATAGGTTTCCCATGCACTTTCCATCAGACAAACTTTAATCTCCACTAGATGGCGTTGTTACTTCTCTTTTAAATTATGTTGCTGCTCCATCCGTAATTTTTTTTAACATGTTGACATGTTGTCTTTGTCTGATATTATTTACCTTAATAGTTCTTGCTTAATTCAAATATCCAGTGTCATATTTTATCCCACTTTTATAATGATGCATTTTACCCTGTTACACAATTTAAAAAAAAAAAGATTTGTTGTGACGAAGACGTCTGTACGACAAACGTTAGTATTTGTTGATATTTGTTTTAAATGATACTCTGTTTTGATCACATATAAATTGTCAGAGATAATCCTAAACTAAAATCTAGACTACAATAAAGATGAAGAGCTTATTCGTTCATTAATTTTCTTTTCGGCTTAGTCACTGTATTAATCTGGGGTGTATACCAAGAATAATTAAAGAATTGGATCTGAATGAAATATCAATATCAAGTACATTGCCTTGGTCAACAGTCCCATTATGGTTAATCTCGCAACCCACAGTAGATCTGTCACTGTTAAATAAAGAAGGAGAAGATTCCCGATGCACAAGATACATATGAATACATGCAAAAATAACTTTGATTGATATGCTCAGATATATTCTGATGCTTTAAAAGAAATGAAAAATAAAGTAGGAAAATGGAACATTTTGAAAATAAAGTAGGAGTGACTTTTAGTGTTCCAGTTTTTACATCAGGGCATACAAAGAATATCATAAATTTTCAATTTATACACGTGAAATTACTGCAGTTTTATTTGCATTCCAGTGAGTAGAAGAAAACAAACCAAAGAAGCTGTTCAGATTCGAGTTCATTTTTAATATCAGTTAAATCAGGACATTCAGATTGTAGATCAGATATTTTGATTGAAGTTTTATAGACAATATAAAGAATTCAACAGATAGACATCATTTTAGCTTTTATTTGGGTTCCAGCACATGTTGGAGCTTTAGGGAATGAACAAGCAGATGAATATGCAAAGGAAGCCACTAAAAATCAGGTATTGACAAGACCTAGTAAAAATGAAATGAAGATTATAATTTGACAATATGTGAGGGAGAGATGACAAAAGAAATGGGAGGAAGAGAGAACAGACAGATGATACATGATCCAGAGAATGGTAAAACAGAACAGTAGGGAGAAATAGATGCGAGGAAATCGTTATATCATGGTTAAGGTTTGGACACACTGCTCTGAATAGTGGGCAGTTCAAAATAGGGAGACATCCAATTGAAACTGTAATTACTGCTATGAGGAGGAAAATATAGAGCATTATGAGGAACGAGAGAAAGCGGAAGTTACGTCACGGATTCAGAGACAACAACAAGTTTCGCGGTATCTGTATCATTTCTTAATAGTTAATAACTCTAAGTAAATAAAAAGTAATCGCTTGATCTGATCTGTGCTTGTTGTGCAATCATGGATGATGACTCGGAGGAGTCAATGATAAATGAAAGTATAGGATTTACAGAAGTATTTTCTAAAAAGAAAAATGCTAAACGTAAAAAAGCCACGTATAAAGAACAGGAATACTATGTACACGAATAATGTGGTAAACGGAATTTTAAAAAAAGACTAAAACGAGTGAAAAAGATAATAGGAAAGATCAAACGCAAAATGAAATACCAGGATATAAAGTAATGATGACGTTTGACAAAGGTACAGTGAAACATCTACATCCGATTGGGCTGTCTAAGGCTATAGATAAGCTAATCGGTACAGTTAGTTTGGCAAGATGTTTGGGACAAGGAAGAGTGCTAATAATAGTCAAGGACATTGCACAAAGAAATAAATTACTTAGGATTAAAGAGATGAACGGAGAAAAGGTAACTTCTAGAGAAATAGGAGTAGCCAAAAATGAGAAAGGGGTAATCGCAGGTGTACCAACACATTTCCAATGAAGAGATCGAGAAAAATATAATAGGAGGTAAAGTAATCAATGTGAGAAGATTGTTTAAAAATGTAAATGGAGATAGACAAGAAAGTATGAGCATTTTGCTGACATTTGAAGGGGAAACTGCCTAAAAAGGTGAAAATGGGATACATCAGTTATACAGTTAGAGAGTACATTCCAAAGCCCTTGAGGTGTTACAAGTGCCAGCGGATTGGTCATGTAGCAGCAGTATGTAGAGGAAAGATGAGATGTGTTAAGTGTGGTGATTGTGAAGATCATGAATATGATAAATGTACAAATGATCTAAAATGTTGCAATGCGACATATGGGGGACGTGAATTTCAGTTAAAAGCAAAAGAGGTACAGAAATTCAAGATTGAACACAAAGTTTCTTATGCAGAAGCAGTCAAGAGCTGCCAGAAAAAGGAGATTAGACTGGACGAAGTAAAGACAGATGAAAAACAACTGGAAAGGAATACTGAGACTGGGAACAGAAGGGAAAATAAGTGTATTTTTATTTTATTTTTTAATGTCAGGGTAACAATAACATCATAGAAATGCAAGAGTGTATATGAGTTTTACAGAGGAGCAAAGAATCAAGTAAGCACATAAAAGAGAAAAGAAAACAACAATAAAAAGAAAAACAAATAATATTACCTTATGTGTTAAGAAAATTAAAAAAGGAAAATAAGTTAACCGTTCTAATGGCTTTAAGATTTTTAGAGGAAGCAATAGTTCTAATGTACTGTTGAATTTCCTTTTCAAAAACAATAAAACAAGGTATACGCAGAGAGAATTTACAGCGGTGTATATGGAATTTAGCAAGGATTAAAAGGAGATTAATAATGAAATATTCCTTACTTTTATCATCAGGAGCATTAAAAAAACCCAGCAGGATATCCTTAAAAGATAACAAGAATCCTGGTAGTATTTTACGATGAATATCTAAAGAAAGTTCAATCCAAAAGCATTGTGTATGAGGGCAACTCCAAAAAATATGGTCAGCAGTTTCATTGGGTATATTACAGAACGAGCAGCATGTATCTATATCTGATTTAAATCTTTTCAAAAATGTCTTGGCTGGGTAAAATCTGTGTAACAGTTTAAATGAAATTTCTCTAATTTTGTTAGTTATTATATATTTTACAGATAATGACCAAACTTTTTTCCAATGAATTTGGTCATATATTTCCATCCAGAAAAACTTCACATATGGAGTTGTTACAATTTCCTTTTGAAAGAGAGACCTGATTTTATAATTACGTGAGGAAGGTTGTGATAAAAAACATATTTTTCCCTCTGAAGTTTCCAAGGGGTGCAATAGCACAGACGAAACACTGGATACTCCACCATAGCCTTTAAAAAGCATTTTAACACCTTTAGGAATTGCATCCGTTACAATGGAGTGTTCTTTAGGAGTCACCGGGAAACCAAACTTGCATAAAAACTCTTTATAATTTAAAAGAAAACCTTCTGAATTAAATAACTGAGATACAGTCAAAATATTTTTTTTCAAACCAACCATTTAAAAATAAAGATTTGTTTTTATACAGAATGTCCTGATTGTTCCAGATAAAATACTGATGAGGAGAAAAGTTGTGTTTGTAAATCAGTGACCATGCAAGTAAAGCTTGCTTATGAAAATTTGATATTTTATAAGAGATTCTATCAATCTTATAGTTACAAATCAGTAGAAAAGGGAGACCACCCAGTTTTGAAAAAAAGTAATTGGGGATAAAGTTCCAAATTGAGTTTGGGTTACTTATAAATTGCCTAAGCCAGTTTACTTTGAAAGTATTGTTTAAAGATGAAAAATCAAGAAAATTTAACCCTCCATATTCATACTTGTTCATAATTACAGATTTGTTGACAAAATGGATTTTATTCTTCCAGACAAAATTAAACATATTTTTATTCACACTTTTACAAACTTTATTATCTACATATAAAGAAAGTGCAAGGAATGTAAGCCTAGCTATATGTGACACCCCAAATATTGGTTTGCCACAATTGAGGATATTAATGATATGCATGTGTAAATGTATAAAGGGAATGGTGGTTCCGCCAGAGCGATAGAGGGCGCTAAGAGAGCACAGTGTGATTCAGCCTTTTCTGGACTGCTCGCGATAGCCCAGTAACATGGAGAGCTGATCACACGCATATCTTGTGTTTATTCCACCATTTAACAGGTTAGTTGACTGTTCTAAGTGTCAATCTGTATTGATATGGAAATAATACATGTTTGTGCATATTAAGTCTTTGAAAAAGATTTGTGTTTGATTACATTTACATGTTTAATGAGGGTTTAAAATCGCGATGTTTACCCGCGATTTAAGGGGATTTATATCTACTCAAATAGTTTAATAAAGGTGAATATGCTTGTATATACATGCATTTCAGTTCTAATAATGTTTAGTTTGCTTTAAAAAGTGCATGTGAGTAATCTATATGGGCAAAACATTCAGAGAATGTCATGTTTAATGCATTTTTGGTACAGATAAAAGCCAATTAAGTTTATTTGATTCATGTGACACTAAAGAGCGTGTGAATACACAGATGTACTACACAGCTATTGGCTGATGAATATATTTGTCAAAGAAATGCTGTTTATTTACAAGAAGGAGGCTGAAACAGTCAATATGTATGAACAGTAAATGCTATAGCAATGTATTTTAGATATTGCAAGTCTTGCCATTTAAATTTGTTTGATGTGAACATGTTGAGAAAAATAAAGATAGCCCAGTAACATGGAGAGCTGATCACACGCATATATTTGTCTTGTGTTTATTCCACCATTTAACAGATTGCTGGGATCGCTAAACTGTCAGCTGCTGATACAGGAGTCCTGGACCCGCTACATATACCCTCCGCTTTGGTAAGTAATACCCTGCCTCTTAAAGATAAGTCTCTCTGCAACCATGTCTGAAATCTTCTTTGTGTCTTTATAATAGCAGGATCAAAGTTCAGAGAAGATCTCCTTTCTTGGTTTTTAGTAATCACAATGCCTAAATATGTTACTTCAGACTTAACTGGGATATTGTAGACAGTGGGAGCCGCACACTCTTTAATTGACATTAGTTCACATTTGCTTAAGTTTAACTTTAGGCCTGACGCTTCAGAAAAACGTTTAATTTTATCAATAACTATATTAATTTGAGAGGCATCTTTTAAAAAAACAGTGGTGTCATCAGCCAACTGGCTAATAACTATTTCTCTACCTGCTAAACAGATACCCTGTACACCACTTTCATAAACAAATGTAGATAGTAGTTGCACACTAAGTAAAAATAAATAAGGAGATATAGGGCACCCCTGTCAAACCCCCCTAAATAAGTCAAATCTTGGTGAGGTGCCATTTTTTAATTTAATTGAAGAAGTGCCATTATTATATAGAGTTTTAATTGCTTTGCAAAACATGTCCCCAATTCCAAATTTATATAATGTCTTAACCATAAATTTATGCTCCAAGGAGTCAAATGCCTTATAAAAGTCTAGAAAAAGAATAAAGCTGTTCTCCTGTATTATTTCTGAGTAGTCCAATAAGTCAAGAACCAGCCTTATGTTATTAACAATATGTCTTTTGGCCATAAACCCAAATTGTGTCTCATCTATTACAGAGTTCAGTACAGATTTTAATCTTTTAGCAAATATAATAGCTAACAACTTATAGTCATTGTTAAGTAGAGAGACTGGTCGCCAGTTATCAATTAAAAGCAAATCCTTTTTGGATTTTGGGATAAGAGTAATTAATCCTTGCGTAAGGGTTGGGGGAAGGGTTTCCTTCTGAATACTTTCTTCAAAAACCTTGAATATATATGGAGACAACTCTTTAGAAAATAATTTGTAAAACTCTGAAGTAAGGCCATCAGTTCCTGGGGACTTACTGTTTTTAAGGTCATTAATCGAATCCCTAACCTCCAATAAAGTCAAGTCCTTGTCACAAAAGTCTCTATCATTACTTGAAATAGTTTTGTATTGTTTGACAGATTCAAAAAAATTACAAGCGGCCTCTTCCGAGTATCTTTCCTTATAAAGATTGCTATAAAATTTAGCACAATATTGAGCTATTTTTTTAGAACCATTAGTAACTATGCCATCAACATTTAAGGTTTCAATTAGTGAGCTCTTCAACAAGCTCTTTTCCAACCTAAAAAAGTATGCGGTATTACATTCTCCTTCTTCCATCCACTTTTGTCTTGATCTTATATAAGCTCCTTGTGCCCTGTAAGTGTACATACTATCTAATTTCATCTGTAGGGTGGCAAATCTGAGTTTGTCAGTTTCTGAAAGTAGCTCTGGAGGCTTAGAGGAGAGCCTAGTAATTTCTGTCACCACCATATTTTCTTCTGCTTGTTGATGTTTAGCTAAATTACTGCCAAATTTCCTGAAGTATTTGCCTATTTCAAACTTCAGCAGCTCCCATTGTCCACAATATGTGTTCTCTGAGGCTCTGCTCCAGTGTTTCTCAATCAATAATACAATATTCTTTTTAACATCTTCAAACTGGAGCAAAGAATTATTCAATTTCCAGTAAGAAGATGAGTATACATCAAGTAATGTAGAGAGACAAACTCCAAGAGAAACAGCACTGTGATCTGTAAGCAGAGAAGCGTGGATATCAACTGATTTACAGTTACTAGCTAAGCTCTGAGAAACTAACCAAAAGTCTGTTCGAGATTTTTTAGAATGATCCTTGCTACACCATGGATAAAGTTTCTGTTGTGGATTTTTTTCTCTCCAGATATCAACAACAGAGAATCTCAACAGAAAATTATTTAGAATTACATTTGTAGAGGCGGCCCTGGATGGAAACCTATCTAATTCACCATTTATTACCATATTGAAGTCTCCGCCCAAAATAATGGAAGAGTTAGGAAATTTGTCTACCCAATATTGAATTTTGTCACTTATTTCATTCAATAAAATTGTATTCTCCTTAGAAGTATTGTACCCATATATATTTACTAAAATTGAAGTATTTTGCCCAAGTGATACAACAAGCAATATAAAGTGACCCTTATCATCACTAACAGAATGCAAAATCGCCCCACAAAACTTGTTTTTTAAATAGCGACACCTGCTGACCGTTCTGTCCCATGAGACATCCACATATCCGTCCCCCACTGAGAACTCCAGAATTTAGCATCCTCCTTAACAGAATGGGTTTCTTGAAAAAAACAAAAGTCTGAACCATAGTTTTTACCAAACAAAAAAGTGCTTTACGCTTAACATTGTTTCTTAGACCCCTGACATTAAGTGAAATGAACGATAACGACATATAAGTGACATAAGACAAATAACAATTGTTGATTATATAAGGTCAAACAAAGGCAAAAAGTCAAAACTGACTAAAGATTAAAGGTATTGAGATGAACAGAGCTCAATGGCCAAGTTAAATCACTAAGTCATAAATCCAGCAGAAAAATAAGGTAAACTCAAAAGCCGTAATGACTGGAAACAGTCAAGTTCTCATTTAAGTGCTTAAACAGTAACCTCGACACCTTCAATGAATGCGCGTGTCCCGATGTAATATGCCACTTTTCCCAAGTGGTGCTCGCCTCTTTCACTTTGGGCCACAAGCTCTTCCTTCTTTCTCGGTCCAGAAATGACAGATCAGGGATAATAAGTGTAATCACAAATGTATAAATGAAAATGACCTCATAATGACAAAAGAGAACTTTTTGGTATTTATTGTCAAAGTGATCAATGTAACAGCTGTAATGACAAGCAGGTCAGCAAAAAGCAAAACAATTCTAGTGGCTGCAGCGGAGTTTTTAGGAATTACAGGAAATTCTGCCCAAACAATTCATGACATTCTCACTCGATCAGCAATAAATGATGCTTCTCAAATTTCTGATTAGCTTAATAGTTATAAGTATTCTACAATGGAATGAATGCAAGAAGTTTAATTGCAAATGGGCAAGAGTTTAAAAAATTTGTGTTAGAGTTAGAATATAAACCAAATGTTTATGTAAATGATTACTTTCCTATAATATGTCAATTAAATGTAAGGAATTTTAATAGTGGTCAATATCTTCAGAATCGCTGGAAATATGAGAAAGCAGATTGGGTAATTAGGGAATTACTGTGAAGAAAAATTAGTAAAGGTTAAAGAGGATACAGTGGAAATATTATGCAAGTCACTGACAGATTTAATAATACAATCAGCTAATTTATACATACCTATAAGAACTGCAGGTGAAAAAAGAGGAACATTCCATGGTGGACAGAAGAGTGCAGCAAGGCAATTAAAGAAAGAAATAAGGCATTCAAACAGCTTAGGAAAAACATGAATTTTGATAATATGCTGAAATACAAGAGAGCAAGAGCTAATGTAAGGAGACTGATTAAAACTGCTAAGAGGGAGGGATGGAGAAATTTTGCTTGACAATGGGGAAAGATACCACCATGGATCAAGTATGGAGAATGTTACAAAATATGAGTGGGAAAGGGAAAAAGAGAAAACAAATACCAGTGTTGATTGAGAAGGATGTAACTGCCATATCAGAAATTGAAAAGGCTAATATGCTTGGAAATGTTCTACAAAGATTATATTGTATAGAATTGGGGGATGAGTATGAAGAACGTAGAGGGAAGTTTATGGAAATGTATCCAAATATTTTGCATAATAAAATAAATGGAAATAGTTTTATGGATGTTGATTTTACAGCTTCAGAATTAAAAAGAGCACTTAGGAAATGTGCATATACTGCCCCAGGTGGAGACAAGGTAAACTATACTATGATTAAACATTTACCAGAAAAAGTTATTTTAGTGATACTTAAATTATATAACAGAATATGGAAAGAAGGAATAATCCCAAAAATATGGAAACAAGCAATTGTAATTCCGATTCAAAAACCAATGAAAGATTCTACAAAACCGGAAAATTACAGACCGATAGCACTGACATCAAATTTAGGTAAATTAATGGAAAAAATGATAGTGAATAGAATTAATTATGATTTGGAGAAAAAAGGAAAATATAGCAAATATCGATGTGGCTTTAGAAGAGGAAGATCAACTATTGACGCATTAAGTAAAGTCACTAATGTAATGAAATAGAAAAGGCAATTAACATAAAAGAGTTTATGGTAGTTGTGTACTTTGATATTGAAAAAGCATATGATACAGTTTGGCGTGAAGGATTGTTAGCTAAAGTTGATAAAATAAACATAGAAGGAAAATTATATAACTGGATATAACAATTTCTGAGTGATAGAACATTTATGGTTCAAGTGGGAAATACTAATTCTACATCTTTTAATGCAGAAAACGGTATTCCTCAAGGCAGTACTATTAGTCCATTGCTTTTTAATATAATGATATTTTCAAAAAATTAGGACCTGGGATAGAAAGTGCTCTTTATGCTGACGATGGAGCTATATGGAAACGAGGAAAAAAACGGAATCAAGTACTTAAAAATATACAAGATGCTATAGATAAGGTAGAAAGGTGGAGTAATTTTTGGAAATTAAAAATATCAGTCAGTAAGTCATGTTATATGATCTTTAGCAGGAAAAAGAAAATATCAAGTGACATTAAACTATCAATATATGGGAAATCATTAGTAGAGGTTAAAGAATTTAAATATCTAGGGATTTGGTTGGATAGCAGGTATACATGGAAATAACATATTGAGGAAGTGGAAAAGAAGTGTAGGAAAACTTTAAATGCAATGAGGGCAATAGCAGGCAAAGAATGGGGAGCAGAAAGATCATTAATGCTCACAGTATATCAGGCTCTAATAAGATCGGTACTTGATTATGGGTGATATATGCGGCAGCATCAAAAACTATTTTAAAAAGATTAGATAGGATCCAATATAGAGCACTTTGTATGTGTATAGGAGCTGTAAAATCAACTCCAGTTAAT